ACTTCTCCCCCTCAACCCCATTCCCGTCATTCCAAATCCCATTTTGACCCCATTTAACCCAATTTTAACCCAATTTAATCCCATTTTTCCCCATTTCCCCCCCCCCCAGAACTCCAACCTGGTGCTCCAAGCCGACTGTTCCCTGATCCAATGGGGAATCCAATTTTAACCCCATTTAATCCAATTTTAACCCAATTTAATCCCATTTTTTCCCCCCCAGAACTCTAAGCTGGTACTGCAAGCAGACTGTTCCCTGATCCAATGGGGAATCCAATTTTTAACCCCATTTTAATCCCATTTTAACGCTATTAAACCCTATTTTACCCCATTTTAACTTAATCCCATTTTTCCCCCCCAGAACTCCAACCTGGTGCTGCAAGCCAACCGTTCCCTGATCCAATGGGGAATCCAATTTTAACCCAATTTTAACTCCATTAGACCCCATTTTAACCCCATTTATCCCAAATTTAACCCAATTTAATCCCATTTTAGCCCCATTTTCCCTCCAGAACTCTAACCTGGTGATCCAAGTTGACCGTTCCCTGATCCAATGGGGAATCCAATTTTAATCCCATTTTAACCCAATTTAATCCCATTTCCCCCCCCCCAGCACTCCAACCTGGTGCTACAAGCCAACCATTCCCTGATCCAATGGGGAATCCAAATTTTAACCCCATTTTAATCCCATTTTAACCCAAATTTAACCCAATTTAATCCCATTTCCCCGCCCCCAGAACTCCAGCCTGGTTCTCCAAGCCAACCGCTCACTGATCCAATGGGGGATCCCATTTTAACCCCATTAAATCCCATTTTAACCCCATTTAACCCCATTTTAACCCAATTTAATCCCATTTTTCCCCCCAGAACTCCAACCTGGTGCTCCAAGCCGACCGCTCTCTGATCGACCGCACGCGCCGGGACGAGCCCACGGGGGAGGTCCTGTCCCTGGTGGGGAAGCTGGAGGGGACCCGCATGGGGGACAAGGCCCAGAGGACCAAACCCCAAATGCAGGAGGAGAGAAGAGCCAAGTGAGCAGAAATTCGGGAATTTTCAGCCTGGGATTGTGGGGTGAAGGGGGTCAGAGGTGGGAAGAGTCTCGTTGGGAAAGGAGATTTTTCAGGGGTTGGGTTCTCCAAAAATTGGTTTTTTTTGGTGGTAAATAGCCAAAAAAATCTGATTTTCCTGGTATTAAATATCCAAAATAAACCTGCTTTTCTTGGTGCTAAATATCCCAAAAAATCTGATTTTCCTGGTATTAAATATAAAAAAATCTGCTTTTCCTGGTTCCCAGTTTCCCACAAAATCTATTTTTCCTGGTGCTAAATATACCAAAAAACTGATTTTCCTGGTATTAAATATAAAAAAATCTGCTTTTCCTGGTTCCCAGTTTCCCACAAAATCTATTTTTCCTGGTGCTAAATGTACCAAAAAACTGATTTTCCTGGTGCTAAATATCCCAAAAAATCTGCTTTTCCTGGTATTAAATATCCCAAAAAATCTTCTTTTCTTGGAGTTTTCCTTTCTCCAACTCAACAATTTTGGAAATACATGGAGTGGAAAACCCAAAACCCAAACCAACCTTGGAACCACCAAAATAATCACAAAAAAATGAAAATAAATCAAGTTTTTGGGAATAAACTGCTCTGGAAAAAGCAGGATTTGAGCCATGAGGGAATTCTGGAGGTGAAAAACCCAAAACCCCAATGCCACCATTATTGGAGATACCAAAATCATCACAAAAAAACCAAAATAAATCAAATTTTTTTCATTTTTTCCTCCGAAAAAACCCGGATTTGAACGCTGACCGTCTCTAATTCCCGGTTTTTTCCCAAATTTTTTCCAGGAGGAGGAAGAGGGACGAGGACCGGCACGACATCAACAAGATGAAGGGCTACACGCTGCTGTCGGAGGGCATCGACGAGATGGTGGGCATCATCTACAAACCCAAAACCAAGGAGACGCGCGAGACCTACGAGGTCCTGCTCAGCTTCATCCAGGCCGCCCTGGGCGACCAGGTCAGCTCTGGGATTCATTCTGGGATTTTGGGATTTGGGATTTGGGAATCCGACCCTCGCTGTCCCGTTGGGTAGGTTGGGTTGGGTGGGAGTTTGGAAGTTGGGAAGTTCTACCATGGGTTGGGATGGTCTACCATGGGTTTCTGCTGGATTGACCTGGTCTTGGAAGCTTCCAAGGATCCCAGGTCTTTGGGAATTCCATCCCAGCCCCTCAAAGAGAAAATTCCTTCCCAAAATCCCACGCAGATCTCCTCATGGAGCCATGGAATGGTTTGGGATGGAAGGGACCTTAAAGTTCATCTGGTCCTACCATGTCCTAGGACATTTTCCACCATCCCAGGTGGCTCCAACCTGATTTGGACACTTCCAGAGGTCCTAACTTCTTTGGGAATTCCATCCCAGCCCCTCTCCCAATATTCCTTCCCAAAATCCCACCCAGATCTCCTCATGGAACCATGGAATGGTTTGGATTTGAGGAACACCAAAAGTCACCATGAGCTGGGACATTTTCCACCATTCCAGTTGGCTCCAAGCTGGTCTTGGACACGTCCATGGATCCCAGCTGCTCTGGGAATTCCATCCCAGCCCCTCAAAGAGAAAATCCCTTCCCAAAATCCCACCTAGATGGAACCATGGAACCACGGAATGGTTTGGGTTGGAAGGAACCTTAAAGTTCATCTGGTCACACCATAAGTTGGGACATTTTCAATGTGTCTTGGACACTTTCATGGATTCCAGCTGCTCTGGGTATTCCATCCCAACCCCTCAAAGGGAAAATCCCATCCCAAAATCCCACTTGGATGGAACCATGGAACCATGGAGTGGTTTGTGTTGGAGGAACACCAAAGCCCATCTGGTCCCAACAGGATCTGGGACACTTCCCACCACCCCAGGTGGCTCCAAGGTGCTCCTTGCTCACCCTTGTCCCCCCTTAGCCCCGGGACATCCTGTGCGGGGCGGCCGACGAGGTCCTGGCCGTGCTGAAGAACGAGAAGCTGCGCGACAAGGAGCGGCGCAAGGAGGTGGAGCTGCTGCTGGGCCCCACCGACGACACGCGCTACCACGTGCTGGTCAACCTGGGCAAGAAGATCACCGACTACGGCGGCGACAAGGACATCCAGAACATGGGTGAGGCAATTTGGGGATTTTTTGGGATTTTTTGGGAATTTTTTCATCTTTTTTTTTCATTTTTTTTCATAAATTTGTCTCCAATTGTTTGCAGTTTTTGGAGGTTTTTGGGGAATATTTTTAATTTTAAAAATTTTTTTGTGTGTGTGTGCATATATATATATATAAAATCTGATTTTTTGGGGTTTTTTTTGTATTTTTGGGGTTTTTTTTTTAATTTTTTGTGATTTTTTTTAGGGATTTTTTTGCAATTTTTAGAGATTATTTTGGTGATTTTTTAAGGGATTTTTTTTGCAATTGTTTTTGTAACTTTTGAAGATTATTTGAAGGAATTCTTTAAATTTAAAAAATATTTTCTTATGTGTATATTTTATTTAACGCTCAATATTTTGGTCATTTTTGGTGATTTTTTTTCAGAATTTTTCCATTAATTTTTCCAAACAATTTTCCATCTTATTTAGGATTTTTGGGGGGTTTTTTTGGGGGATTCTCTGGGTGAATCCCGGGTGAATTCCATGCGGAATTCCCAGGAATTCCCAGCAATTCTGTTCCCTGCAGATGACAACATCGACGAGACCTACGGGGTCAACGTTCAGTTCGAGTCCGACGAGGAGGTGGGGACGGCCCCGGCCCCGTTCGCCCCGAAACCCGGGGGTCAGCCCGGCCCTTTTCCTAAATCCCATTTTCCTAAATCCCATTTTCCTAAATCCCATTTTTCTAA